GACGGCCCCTCGCTGGGCGCTCCCCGGGTGCTCTGCCGCCGGCGGCGCCGCGCTCCGGCGGTGCCTGGCCTCGCTAGAATTTCTATGGAAACCCAGATACTGAACGGGTTGGAATAGCTCAAACCATCTGTTCTTCCCCTACTTATAAACTCGATAAGAGGAACATGTTTTGCGATGACATCACTACAAATGCTCTCCTTTTATTCATCATGCAGCCATCTGTGATTATTTCCTCATGTGCCAAACACATGAGCGGGTGTTTGGGGCCGGGTAGGGAGGCACGGCCACAGCCCTGAGCTAGCCCGCGAGATCTGCTGACCCAACCGCATCATCCCCTTAACCAGATTTCATTCTTCCCCTTCGAAACCAGGCCTGTCCCCACAGAGGCTCTCTTGTTCCCGTCTTGCGGCGTCTGCAGAGCAAACAGCTGAATTAGCTGGGAACAATGAAAGGTTCAAAGGTAAAAACCGAAACACAATCCAAACTTGAACTTGCCCAGTACTGGTGTCAGAAACGCGACGGAGGATCTGCGGTGGGGACAGGGTTACCTGCAGGAGTGAATGCCACCTGGACAGCGCATGGGGAGCTAGGCTTTCCGTCTCTGCCTTTTGCCAGCAAGGTGTTGTGCTGCTCTGGGGACAGATCCTGTCTGCCATCCCATACTGGGAATGAGATCGTGTCCTGCAGTTTGGGTATTGGGGGAGGAAGGGCTAGGGAATATGGGTTAGCTCAGGACACGGGTACCCCGTTGTGGATCTAGCTCACCAATTAGGTAGTTTTTCAGCTAGAAGTTACCTTCCTGGGGTGTTTTTTATTCCTGCTCTGTTTCTGTGCAAAGTCAGCTGGGTTGGTTTGCATCGCCCCCAAGGGTGATTTAGGGTTCTGACTCACGCGGCCTCCCAGTCATGCTGGGTGCTATGAGAGGTGACTACTCCCAGACGCCTGCCCTGCCCTGCAGCTGGAGGTCTGCACCCTGCTATGGAATTGGTGTGCGGCTATGGCTCAGCCGCTGTGCTGAACGTGCACTGATTTCAGCTGGTGTTAACGCACCTTGCCCTGGAGAGTGGCTGTAGCCTGGGGAGCGGGTTACTGAAGAACCACCAGTACCCACTAGACTTTGTCTGAAGCAGATCGGAAGTGCTCACAGAGCTTGTCAGTGCGGCTCAGCACTGCTGAGTGGTAATGAACATCTTGGGTAGTGGCGAAGAGCTGAAGGTGGTAGCAAATAGCTGTGCGCATACTAAGCAGCTGGAGGTGGTGATGCCTTTAACCCGCTCCAGTTACTTGGGTCCAGATCGGTTGTCTACAGCTGCACTTTGTGTTTTCTTAAGTGATCAGGCTCTCCCTTTCTGCAGCGGTGGAGAGGGTCCTCTTTGAGGAAGACAGTTTCAGACTTCACTGCGAAGGAGAAAGAAAAGATGGCTGAGGCAGAGCTCAGGAAACTGCAGCAACGGTTTCGGATATTGGCGGAAAGCAAGAAATCTTTTGGAGCCAACATGAAGCACCAAATGTACACTCAGGAGTGAGTGCAGCTTCACCCGGCTCCGCTGTGATTGGAAATTTCCTGCAAGCTGGGATTTTTGGGCTACTCTGACACTGAGATGGGAAAGGGTAAGAACCTGCCCTGGCTGTGCAGGCAGAGTGTGCTGAATGTCACTTATTGTTCTATTTCTACAGGAAAGAAATAAATTCACTGAAGCAAGAACACAAAGAGATGTCATTAATGCTGAGCCATATTAAGTCCCCAAGAAACATGATGCTGGATGACAGAAATCGTGTGGAGTTTAAATTCCTTTTGCAGACCAAAGATCAGTATGACTCTCTGATTAGAGCCAGAAAAGCCATGTTAGCTGACCTGGACAAAAAGGTAAGAGCATCTGAACCATTCCCTAGCTGAGCATGATATAGCACAGAAAAGCCACAGAGTGAAAAGCTCTCTGCCATGGTGCGACTGTGGTTTGGCCTTTTCAGTTTGCAGCTGAGGAGGAAAAACAGTTCCACATGTCTCTATAAATGTACATCACATAGCATTTCAAAAGGGTTACCTACCCCGTCACATATCTTTGTAAATCTTACCTGAGTAATACCAAGGCAATCAGTAGGGTTTCTTGTACGAGCAGCAATGCACGTGTTCCCCAACAGGGTGAAGGAGGTTATGGGACTGTGCTGTAAAATGACAATACATGTTCTACCCAGTTATGGTCCTTGATAGTAGAATGCCATGGATAGTACTTTCATTTCTCCAACTATTGTCACGAAAGACTCAGCGTAAATCAAAGCCCTGAACTAAAGAGTTAAAGCCACAATAAAGTATTGTGTCCTGCATGTGGTCCCTTTGCAGGTGAACGCTATGGCTGAAACTTCAATATGTAAAACGCATTTAGTTCAGGTCTTGGAACATAAAGCTGCTTCCCAGCAAAAGATATGTGATAATGACAAATGGTTATTGCCATGCTCCTGTTCAAGTCAGCGGCACCGGCCAGGAAAGTAGGGTCTGACTCTAAGCGTTGTCATCTCGGGGCTCTGTGCAGCTCTTGCACACACCTGCCTAGGGTCATGCAGCAACCCTGTGCTTTTCCTGGACTTTGCTCCTGAAAGAGGGGCAAAAATGGAACATTTAGTAGTACTTCCTAAATGTGCCTGAGACATGGCAACTAAAGGGGTAGCAACACATCAGAGGGATATCCCATTACTTCTCCCGGGGACAGTCTGGTTGGATCTGGTCAGTGGTGGAGCGGGAGGCCAAAGAAAGCCCAGTGCTGCAGAAGTGACAAGTCCGTGTAGCTTCTGCTCTGAACAAGTCACCCATGACAGCAGTAAGGGAACATGCTCAGGTAGTTTACAGTTGCTAGGAATGCTGTAGAGCTTTCCACAAGGGGGTTAGCTTTCAATCAGTGACTTCAGGATCTCTTGGCTGAGTCATAGCTCTTCTACCTGACCCTGGTTCATTGTTCTCCAACTTCTTCATTCTTCTTGTGGATTTGTTCCCTTTGACAGCTCCCCACTTTTGGCAAACACCGTCTTCCACTCATTTCTAGGGAGGGCTGTACAGATCCCTGTGTGGTCAGCACAAGAACCACTATCATACAACCCTCTTCATTGCTTCTTCCACTCTACACATAGTGCTGCTGTGCCTCGTTCAACACCTGTTGAATTTCCCTCCAGAGGTGGAGAAATGCATTTCCTCGGTGACATGAAAATAAAGGGATTCCTCGTTATGGTTTGTGTTTCTGCATCTGCAGAATAGGATCCTGTGGGATTAAGCAGTTTCTATAACTATGATCTCATTAATGACATATTTACTGTAGTTCAGGTCAACAGAGGGTATTTTCTTTGGCTAAGTGTCCTGACATGAGTCCAGACTGCAGGGGAGGAGATTATGCTTTAACTTTGTGTCTGTGTGTGCAGATAATGGAGATGGAAAAAAAGATTACAAGACAAAACCTGATAGCAGCAAAGGTGAAGCAAGCAAACAGTAGCAAATGGCTGAAAAAGAAGATTCAGACACTGGAGATGCGTCTAAACCATGTAAGCAAACATGGTGCAAAACCTAGGAGATCATGTGGGGTGCCAGGCTGGGGCCTGTGTGCAAAAAGTTTTTTGATCAGGATAAAAGGTAATAGTGCAAATGCATTTGGTCCACACAAGCTGCAAAAAGGGTTCGGATTGTTCCCCTGGCCTGATTGCTTCCAGAATGTCTCAAAGACTCCTTCAAGCCTGGTGACCCAAATGCAGTGCTTGTGCCATGCCAAGAAGCCCGAAGGTCTGCACCTGTTTAGCGATAAAACAGAGCTGTTTGAAGCCAGCCTTGCCTTGGACAATACTAGCTCCAGGTCTCTGCCGCAGTTGGCCTCACCCGCAGCGGCCTCTCCTGCCTTGGGGATGAGGCTAGCACAAGGCCTACTTAAGATCTCTTGGGCTGTGTTTGTCCTAGTCCTGGTCAAGGCTTTTCAGCAGAGGCCTGAACTCCCCAGACCTGCCCCACCCACAAACCTTTTGCTTCCCTCTTCCCAGGTCACTGTCCATTTTGATACCATCCTAACCACCAATACCAAGCTCCGAGGAGAGATTGAAAACCTGCGAATCCAGAAAGCCATTTTGGACAACTTCTCCTTAAACCTCCACAAGAAGCTGGATCAGCAGAACAGAAGGATGGACACTGTCATTGAGCGGTCCACGCAAGCCTATGAGCAGCGGTACGCGGCCTTTTGAGCCCTCTGTGGTAAACTCAACAGTGAAGGGCAATTTGTGACCTGAGTCAAACCAATGACAACTTCAGAGAGAGGGTTCATCACCCTCTTATCTAGAGCTGGGAGCTGTCTAAAGGTTAGGCACTTAGTCAATGGAGGGACACTGGTACCTCTGGGGAGTGATTCCACCTGCTCCAGATGTCTTTTGGGATGGGGTGAATTGCCCTATGGAGCTCTCTCTTTCCTGTCAGTCCTAGGTCTGCATGTGGAGATGCAGACATACCTTGAGAATGGGAGAGCTAGCTGGTGAAGAGGCCAGCCCCTGGGGTCAAATGAGCCTGGCTGCCACAGTTAGGTGCTGTGTCTGAGCACAGAATCCTACCAAGAGCTCTGTTAGCTTGCTGCTGGTATTGGGCTAACAGAGCTGTGTCGATCAGAGCTCACTGATGTGCGCAGCATCATGGGAGCTTTGCTGGGTCAGGCACAGAGATACACGGGAATGGTCAGGAATACAGGTCCTTATAGCTATGGTGCTTTCTATAAACACACCTCATCCGAGCTCCGGTGGTCTTTGGGGTGTGAACAACTGCAGACTGTAGCAGCTAAACCAGGGATCCTCCAAGTCCTCTAGGCACCGTCTGTGATGTGGGAGGCCTCATGTCAGAGCTGTCCTGACTTGCGCTCTGTGGAATCCATGCTCAGTGAATGTCCAGGGGAGTGCCCATGGACAGTCAGGGGAAGGATGGACTTGCTAGTGTTAGCGCTGTGTAACTGCTGTCTGTGTGTAGGGCAGAGACCCTGGCAAGGACTTCTGCCATGAAGGAAAGGCACTGCAAAGACACTGTCCAGTACAACATCGAGCTGCAGGAGCGGGAGCGTATCCTGGACCAGGAGACCAAGCTGAAAACTTTCATGCTCATCAAATTTATGGATCGCTCTGAATTGGAGGAACAGGCCAAAAAGGAAGAAGGTATCACATGAGAGAAACCGCATGCAACTCCGACTGCAAACCAGGAGTCTGCGGGGCTGGCAAGGGGGCTGATTATAGCAGTTTATAGCACCCAGTCTAGAGGCACAACATCTCCTCTGCCCACAGGCTCCTGGGAAGGGAGAATCTCAGTTAGGGGCCATGAACCCCCTTCTCCCTACAGATGAAAAGGGTAAACAGCCATAACCAAATGAGACTACGCAACACTGTGTGTCTTGGGGAGGACTTGGGGGAGAGGGAGGAAAGGGGAGGCAGGGACCTTGTCCCATATGCACCTTAAGGAAGACCATGGCTCCTTTTCCTCAGCTTTAGGCGCTTTTCCTTTCCAGGGAGGGATTGCCCTGTGTTTTTCTCATCCCCATACAGACTGTGAGCTCCCTGATGAGTTTCTAGGGGAAGTGCTGCTCCCTATCTGCCCCAAGCCCCTGTCAAGCCCCACAGCATCCATAGGTGAAGGCTCTGCAATGGGCCTGGCATGAAGGAGACAGCTTAGCATCTTCTTCTCTCCTTCAGCCTTGAAGGCGATCCAGCGGGCAAAGCGGAGACGAGGTGAGAGCTTCGAGAGTCGGGAGGTGGCTTACCGGCGCCTGCTGGAGCTGGCAGAGAATGGGGACATCGACTGGCTGGTAAAGGGGTTCATTGCAAAGGAGGAGAAGAACTTTGCCTACTTCAGCTATGCCACTGAGCTGAACAATGAGATGGAGAGGCTGCAGAAGAAGATCAAGGACCTCCAGGTCTGCTCCAGCCCTGCTCTGAGGCTCTTGTGTTTCCTCTTTTTCAGCTAGTATCTTTGGGTTGGGGTAGGCTTTTCCTTCCTTTGGGTGTCCAGCATCATCACCCAAACCAGGGCCCAGCTCATGGGCTACCACACAGGTGTGAATGGGAAAATGCAAAGGGGTAGCCAAAAATATAACTCCAGTGGACAGAAAGCTGCTTTCTCAGAGTCAAAAATGTCTCAATGCTGCCACCGTGCACCCAGCAGATATATTGCAAAAGAGGGAGCTCCAGGCTGGTGAGAACCACCACAGCCGCTTGTGGGGCTGCTGAGTGAGAAGAAACATTGCCTGTTCCGGGTCTGATCTCCTGGCCTGAGGATAATGGTTCCCAGAGGGGCATGGTGGTGCCCCTGCTCCCAGGACAGAGTAACAGTCCCCAGGCCGGGAGGAAAGGGCAGGTTGGTCATCTGGAGGAGACAAATCTACAGGAAGTGACTGACGAGTGGGTGCAAAGCAGCCTTGCTCTATGGAGCCACATTGTGAGGGTCTGGCCTAGCTGTTCAAGCTGTGCTGGCAGGTGCCTGATCCCAGGGCACTGCAAAGCGGGGTCTAGCCTTGCCGCTTTGCAGCCTGTTCTGCATGTCTGTTTGACATTTAGCCACTACCTCCCCATGTGCTTGTGTTTATGCAGAATGAAATTACGCTCCTAGAGATGGAGCAGGACAACGCAGAGAGCAGTGACCTTCACATCCTGACAGAGTTAGAGGTACGGAGGCCAGGATTTCCCTGTGCGAGATGGCAGGACCCTGCCCTTCCTGACATGTGTCCTAGGGAGTCTGGTCCTTTCAACTCTGCTCTGGCGAAAGGCTGGAGAGGCAGCCTGGGCAGAAAAGGCTCTGCATTGGCTTTTGCAGCCCTGTTCCCTGAGAAATCCCAGCGCACGGTGAGAAGATCACTACAGAGCGCCTGCCAACCCTGCTCTTCCAGTGCGTGGGGCCTGGGCTGTGCCATGGGGAGCTAGGGGAACCCCTTCCTAAAGCCTCTCCCCTACAGGGATGGGAGCATCCCACAGCCTCCCCTGGGGTGTCTCCAGTGTCCAGACTGAAACTGGCCAGCACCGGAGAGGGGGAAGAGGGTAGGGGGCTGTCGTGACACCTAGCGAAATGTTTGCTGATAGGAAAAGCTAAGAAAAGCCACCGAGGAAGCCAACCGGTATGAAGACAGCTGCAAAGAGAGCAGCAAAATCCTGGGCCAGCGCAAATCTGCTGTGGAGTTCCTGTTCAAACAGATGAATTGCGACGCCACGAAGATAAAGGAGCAGCTGGGGGAGAACGGGGAGATCACGGATCTGAACCTGCTGCAGTTCTTCGGTGCGTCAGGGCTCCCCGCCTTCCCTGCCGTGTGGCCTGGGCCTTGTGTCCCCTCCCTGCCCCTTGCGCTGTGTTCGAATTTGAGCTGGTTTGCCCCCCCCCGCCCAACACGCGCCGGTGTCTCCTGCTCAGTGGGAAATGGGGGGCTAGCTCACGCTGCATTAACTTGCCCTCCTCCTGGCCCTGGGTATGGGATTCAGCGCTAGAGCAAGGTCTTGGGACTCTCGTCCCCGGGGGGACCGGGCTGCCTAACGGTTAAAGGACCGACTCAGGACTCGTTTCAGTCTTCTCTCTGGTGCAGCCCTGTTTATTCTGCATCAGGCCTGACTGGCTGGCGGTGGCCTGTGTCGCTCCGCGCTCAGAATACAGGCTCATGGCGGATTTTGCCAGAAACCTGGGCTAGGGCACGGGGCCCTGCGCGACGTCCTTCACCTCCCCACGCAGATATCATAGAGAAGAAGACCAACGAGCTGCTGCTGATGGCGTCCGTGCTGCGCTACGCGGCGGCGGAGGCCGAGGGGGAGCAGTACGCCGTGCCCTTCGCCAACCCGCTCCTGGGTGGCACCGGGCTCCTCAAGACCATGGACAGGACCCGGCTCTGCCCGCCGCCCCCCGGCTTC